TGTTCACCGATTTGACTCACTTAATGTATTAATGAATTCGTTAATGAATAATATCCCTTAATTTCTCTGATTTTATATAGAAAACGGAGGCGAATCGCCTACAGGAAATATTGTTAGCCAATAAAAGGTGCAAGTATTCTTCAGTTTGTAAGTATTGACGTTTGGCTACATGAGCTAATTATGTAAATTGGAAATTCTGCTATTCAAGATAAGATTTGTTTGTTAAGAGTGAGATACCTGTAGTTTCGACGTATCACTGTATAGTTGACTTTCTCTAACTAGTCAATAGTAATAACATTCAACCAATACCAATGGTCACATGACTAGTCGAATCTTTATTTCTCAATAACTAAATGCAAATTACTATGCAATACATTTAGAACGTTAGCCATTATGACCTTCCATCTCACTGCATGTCTTACTTTCTACAAATAGCTTCACACTTAATTTTCCCAAGTGTTATGTAAAAATTGAATTTTTCATATTCTGTGTTATTACATAAAAGTTTTATGCTTTTTTTCTCAGATGCTCTTACCTGTTTTTGTACGTCAGCGTCGCTAAGTGCCATTTTTTATGATTTGATTTGATTTTTTTGTATCGGACAGTTATTCAAAAGACAAATATCACGAATCACTCACAATCACCGGGGTTCAAGGATTTCTGCAAATTTTCGAAAGACAAAACTTATTGAGGTCTTTTAGTTTGTAAACAAATTTTTGTAGGCAAAATCTTACAATATTTTCCAATAAATGAGGATTCGCAATTCGCGACTTAGTTCTTTTTGTCTCAAGTTAATTTGGTGTTGCTTCACAAAAAATTTAAGAATTCTTTGCAACTTTTTCTCTTGGTCATATGATAAACAGGGTTATCAAGCTGCTGTTTTTTTTTTTAATCTCACAGTGCAGGTAAACGATACAGTTGGTGAAATTTCTTTCTTCAAGTTTAAACAATAACAAATAGTTTCTAACGAATCGCTCTATCATATATTATTATCTTAGGGAAAAACGCAATGAGATCCTTTAAGCACCGAGAAGTTGAGTACGTTAAAAGTTATGAAACCGAAATAAATTTCCCTCCTTAAAAAAACAATCATGCCTCATTATTATTATCTTCCTTGGTTTTATGAAAGGGCCTTTTTTAAACCATATCATTGATTGTCAAGTTGTCAATTACGTTAATAGTTTAGCAATAATTGCACAAATCTGGTCAATTCTCACTGCAAAGTGTTCTCTCACATAATAAGAGTAAAGTCACATCTAATTCATAGTTGCAGAATACTGACTATAATCTTTTTCAACTATTTTTTTAAAAACTATTGTTAAAAAAGTTCTTAACAACTTCAAGCGAAGCTTACTACGCATCATGACTATCCAAAAGAAGTATCTAGTCAGGCCTTGTACATCACATTGGAAGTCAATTGAAATGATTCAGCACCGCATACATCGCTCTTGGCGCTATTTATATATAATTTATTCAACACAGATATTTTCTGTTTTGAAGAACAGGGTCATACCTTAATCTGTAATTTTTGCACGAACGACTTGAAACCACAGATTTCTTCACATAAAAGATATGACTTTTTTGATCTTCGAGATCTATGATTGCACCCCTGCCAACGATTTTCCCTTCTAAATGACAACAATAACATATTTTGCAATTCCTACGTTATCATCTTTTCTCCGCATAAAAGAAATTGCCTGACGATATATTTTTCAGCTAATTTGGCTTATAAAACTATGAATGACCGTCATATTTATACCATTGCTAAAACTGTTCGATCCTACGAACTACTAACAAACTGTCTAGAAATAAATGGGAAATTGCCCTACCTCTGCCAAACAAAAGGAAAAGAAAGCAAAAAAAAAAATCTATCGTTCAAAGTGGTTTGCCTATGTCGAAGACGATATAACAAATCTAATCAGAGGCAACAAAACAATAAGATGTTCACACATTTGTATAAAAATTGGGCACTTTAGAGAATAAGCGTATAAAGTATGGGCTCTTTAGAGAATAAGCGTATATGTTCTCAATAATTTGTATAAAAATTGGGCACTTTAGAGAATACGAGTCCACATTTGTTTACACTTGTCAATGCTTGAACGAAACTTGCGGGGAGGTAAGACCGTAGCAAACTGATGGCAGAAGTTGAATTGGTAGAAATCAATAAAAAAAGACAACGTTATAGATGTCAAGCGGCTCAATTTATTTCGGATATATTTGCCCGTTTCATTTACAAAAGCGTAGATAAATTAAAAGAATGACGCATACTATTAATGCTCGCATTTATATAAATTAAAAGTAGTAGAATTCAAAAATCGTTTTATAAACTGCTGCTCTACTTTTTCTTGTTGGTGTAACAATATTTATTAATGTAACAATTACGCGCCAATTAGAGCGTTTTTTTTATATATGTAATTGTACTATGAATATATAAAATATAAAAATATATACAATGTGTATATATGTGTATATAGTATATATATATATATATAAACATATATAAAGATATACGAGATATATATATAAACATAAATACACACATATAAATATACATACGTAAACAAGTTTATAATAATATATAATAATACCATAAAATTTATGTTATTATTATATATTATTATGCATAGATGTTACTTTTCCGTGCACATATACCTCTGCTAAAAATTATTGTCAAACAGAATATTATAAATCTCTACCTGTGCTAAATCTAAAGATCTAAAGAAATAAAAACTTAATATACCTAATATGGGCCTAATAGATAAACAGAAGAGATGAGAATATCTTTTGGGATTTCCAAATAGCAAATCTGCAAGTAAAAAGACTATAAAAATTTGTGGTTATTCGAAGAGAAATTTACGTAAGATATACCTTAAACTTTTATGGGGTAATAAGTTTTATTTCCCCCAAATTGCTTTTTCCTGTTTCATAATCGATCGAGGCAATCGAATCGGTTTGTGTAATCTTTGAAAAGTATGGATCTAACGCCTTCCAAATACGTTTTGGCACCTTCATTATCATCTTTAATGACTGCGAAAATAAAAAAGAGGGAAAGTGTATTAATTAACACGCGTGCAAACTTTCGTATTTACCCTTTTCTTAAGATATCTCTCCGGATGACATAACATAACTCACTTGCAACATCAATGTGGCGACTTTTTCTTGGTTTTCAACTTCATTTCAACTTGAGAATTGAAAATATGACTTAAAGGATCTATATAACATATATTTATTTCAAACCATATCTACCAAACAATGCGGGAAAATGTCAGTCATTCGACTCTCTAATTGCCTGCGGGTAATGGAGCGATGCCTACTAAGTTGGTCGTAACTATAACTAATACAGTACAAATTACTAAATTACAAATGAATGACAATTTATTGAATGACACCAACAGAAACAGAACTATTTGAAATGCCTTAGCCATCATCATTATTAATTGCTCTTGCAGAACTTTCAACTCCCCTAAATGTAACGATCTTGTCCGTTAACTGGGTTTTGTTTGAATGCTGGGAGCAGTTAACTGACGGGGAATGTTTTTGATGTCAGGCAAGTGAATGAAAGTGTTCTGTTGATCATTTCATCTCTTCGTTATCATTATTTCTGCGAGAGTTTTTATTTCTCTACCAAATTTCATTTTTTCCAAACAGATCGTGAATTTCGGTCGTTCGCTTCTTGAGACAACAGCTTTCTTTGTTTTACCTTTGCAGGTTTTGCTTTTGTATTCCATCCAATATATGTGAAGAGTTTTTCTTCTTAGGTTATTTTTATTGTAAACATTTAGTTTTGAAATTAGTATTACTTGCTCTAGCTTAGCATTCTGCTTCTAAATGTTTTCAAATGATTTTCACTTCTAATTTCTCTTTTTTAAAGCTCGTTAACGAGGTATTCTATTTTTCAAATGGGTTTCTTATGTTTCAAAGCAAGAAAGAATATAAGCAAGAATAACAGGTTCCCATACATAAGCTTTATGCCACCTTTTTTCATATCAAACATTGATATTCGCTATTTTCTGGGTTTGAACGTTATGTAACTACACTATCGCGTACCACCGCCTTGATCAGTTTGAAATTTTTACGAATTACTTTATACAAAATACAGCAACAAATGTTGAAGACATTTAACGTTGCCCAAATATTATGCTTTACCATCCCTTTCCCATTGCATCACGACTTCAAAAGCCTTATTTTTATAAATTAATTTAAGCTTATTATTTTTGTCAGCTTCATTGTTATCAAAGCATTCAACACGTTAAATACTTTGACAGCCAATTTACGTATGGATTGAAACTTGTATTTAATGTAATTTATTCAAGAAACTTTTTGGAATTTTTTTACTTCCAAATTTGTAAGATATTTCTTTTCACAAAATACAAAAAGTTAGTGTAACAATATAATTTCAGGAAAAAAATATTAAAATCGCGTTCCCTCTTCTACAAACGAATGTACACATACCGTAAGGACAAGTCCTTTGGTTAACCTTCTGTTAAACTTTCTGGGAAAAGCTCCGCGTACATCGTATTTTCACGTGGTTCGGCTGGTGGCAGTATACGATAACCAGCGCTTTTAAAACGTTTTGCTTTATACTTTACGTGTATGTTCATTTAATATTATATATAACAGTAACTTATTATTTAAGTGCACTAACTAAAATGTACAAGGATTGCATTACTTACCATAAGTTGTTTATATTGGCAGTCGTAATCACTTAAAGCCATATCACGCTTAAGTATTTCGTTACGTAGGCAGGATACTTCCATTTGTAACATATCAGATTTTTGAGCTTGGCATTTAACTTGCATGAAGTCCTCCTTCAAATCCTCTAATTGGGCCTGAAAAATATGAAATCATGAAAAAATGGAAGGGAAACGGCGAGCATAAGAAGTATTAAAGAAAAGGGACGCAAGAAGTTTTGTATGAATTTAGATAGGCACATGGTCATAAATCAAATTATCGATTGACGAAAGAAGTAGAAATAATATAAAATAGTCCAATTCGATCCTTCTAATAAAAAAAAAAAAACGAATTTCAAGAAAAACAATAAAATTTCAGCAATAATGCTTAAAATGAAAACTTTTCAACTAATCACACTTTATATTTGCATATCTATTTAACTATTGCTTTATGCTACTCGCGAAGTCAATTTTGTGAAACAAAATATATAGAGGTCGAAATTATTAGACAGGGTTTAAAATCTTGCTCTCCTTGCTTTAATTCACTAAAATGCCTTTCGAAATTCTTACCTTTAAGCATTCTTCCCTAAAGCAGGCCTGCTGCATTTGGTCCTCGTAGTATTTTTGCATTTTTTGCATCTCCGCTTCCAAATTAGCACAAGACTTGGCTTTGTTTTCCAAATCTTTGTTTAAGTTTCTCTCCTTCTTCTGCATATCGCCGACCCTTTGATTAAACGACTTGCACTTGTCACGTAGATTATTACGATCGCTGATGATAGCTTTTATATTCTCCGCATCTCGATCTGACAAACGCTTCTGGGAACAATACTTATCTTGCATTTCTTGTTTTATTTTCTGGTAGCCGTCTTCCATATCTCTGAGCATAATGCATTCTTTACGTAATTTGTCGACTTCTTTTTGTAGATAGTCTACATCTTTACTTTGCTCTGGTTCAGTTTTTATTTTTTCCAAAGAGCAACGATTCGCCAATTTCTCTACTAGACGCTTAATGTAGTTATTTTCAGCTCGCAATATCTCGTAGGCTTTCAGCATATTTTCAATCTTTTTATGTATTTGTAACATTTCGTTCTCTTCGTTTTTGTTTAATTTTCCGGAAGACACCAGCTCTCTCACCTTGTTATAGAAATCTTTACAAGTGTTTGCATCCAACTTGGTAGTTAATATTTCCTTGATTTTCTTGTTCTCTTGCGTAGCCGATTTGAGACGTTCATTAGAAACATTCAGTTCGTTTTCTAACGAAGTTTTAACGTTAAGCAATTTTTGATATTCCGCTAAATGGGTGTTGGCGCATTGAAGCAGACTGTCCCCAGCACTAATAGAGCTCAACTGTGTTAGCAAGCCCTGCTAAGCAACGGGCATTCATTTCAAAAATTTGAAACAAGAGTTAAAAACAATCTAAAAATCTACCTCGTCTCCGGCACCAGATGCTACTCGGGACATTCCCATATCTGCTTTGGAACATGTCTTCAGTAGCCCCTAAACCCCGATTTTAAAAGTAAAATTTTCAGTTAAAAAATTTTCAATTTAAAATTTACTGCGTTCGCTCTCACCGGCGTTTCGCAAAGCACTAAATCATACAAATATTTAGATTGCTTTTTGTCATCCAGAGCCCAAGCGCTGTCAGCTATAATTGAGTTATAACGCTTCAGTTTTACACAGTCCGGGCGGCACGCGAATTCCAAGTGTTCATCCATGAACGGTACATGAAAAAAATCCTTTTGAGTAGAATATGCCATTGTTAGGTATAAGTGACGCTGTTTTTGATGCTTATTCTCGTTTCGGCTTTGAGGTTACAGAATTCGAGTCGAGATGTTTTCGTTATATGTGACTATAGTTTTGGAGTGTGGTTCGTTTTATGTTAAAAATCTTTTGAAAATGACGCGATTCGTTTCTTATTTTTTAGGACTATAAATTTTTACTGGGAAAAATTATTGCTTATAGCAATCTCTAAACGGAAAAAATCTTTACGAAAATATATTGAAACATATAAAAGAAAATTCTGCCCTCTCTTCTTTCGATAAATTTGAAATGTGTTGCTTTTTTTGAAAAGCAAAGAAAAGATAAACGAAACAACATTTTATATTTTGAATATTTTGTAAAGATAGCCAGTAGTTATGTTGATCTTTTGAAGAATGTTTCCGTTAATTCATTTATACGACTTGTGGTATGGGTTACGCTTAGTTTGTATAGACGTATGTGCCATCTAGGAGAAGTTAGGATAGACATATCGAGCGAGTTAGAATCATCGTAGTAGTAGCAGGGCATTCTAAATTGATGTGAAAAGTTTGAACCCCATGGCTCAACTTTTCGAACCCCAATACCACTGTTCTTACATAAGCTGATGTGGCAAAAATGTGTAATTTTCAGCAATTTTTGATGAAAATCCGTTTATGATAATACTTATATTATGATAATTGACATAAAGCAGCAAGCATGGGTCCCACAGGTCTATTCTACGGATCATTTGTCATTTTTTATAATAAAAATGGATTAAGATCATAAAATATTCAATTTTGTTAATTTTTACAATTTCTTTGTCATTGCAGTATTAATAGTCATGGCACTGTCCGTTTAAATTACATTAACTTTTGAATATTAAATTAATTTTTTGTTTTAAAGCTCGCAAAACTTAATAATGCTAATATGTCTAGCACAAAACATTCGAAAAGGTAGCGCATTTTCTTATTAATCTTGTCAAAGGAAAAACAAATTGATGTAGAACAACTGTGGTTAACTGGGTATGCTACTCTCAGATGCAGGGCAATCTGTACTTTGGCGCAAAAGTCCTAGATATCTTTGGCCAAACTGGACACAAATTGTGAGACTATCAATATAGTTTAGCGTTCATTTAAAATTTGCCTGGATTGAGGGCGGCAGAAAATTGGAAACTCGCCACTTAAGCAGAACTGTTTGGAAAATTTTGGTAAGCGTTATTTAAAAAAAATGTATAGCTTAGAATGGTTACTGAGATTGAAAATAGATAAGTTGAAAGTTTAATTAATTATTCCGGGACCTTGATGCTTCGATTCCAGGAATCAGTCAATGTTTTCGCTTATTGTTATTGATAAAATACTTACTTATTAGTTTATCACAGCGTTGGAATTCTCTTTTCAAAAGTCTCATTAATTCTATAAGCATTTGGCAGCATTCCTTTTCGCTAATCACTAATTCAGTCTCGGAATTTGATTTCTTTTTCGGTTTAATTTTACTCAAAGTCTGTAGTTTTTCGTAAAGCGCTGTCAGTATGAAAGCGTACAGCGAGAGTATCTGGAAATAATTATATAGTTTTTTTTTTTCTTTTTTTTTATATATATAAACTTCCAAATTTGCTGCTATCTTGCTTTGCCATTCACGTCTACGCCATAGGTCCTCTTCGAAAGATTCATCGCTTGCGGCGATAATATTACCGCAAAAATTTACAAGCTGGACAACATTATCGCATTGTAATTTGCATTGCAACGATAGACTACTGGCGCCGACACAGAATTGCATTACCAATTGAATTAACATCAAATTTTTCAAAAAAGGGGAAAATCGAATGCCACGCCTATAAAAATTGTATAAAACTATTCAGGAGACGTACAAGGGGAGATGAATGCATATTTTTTATTCATCACCGCCATACTTTTCCACAATATGTTGTGAATGACTAAACTAAATTGACCTTCGATTCTTACACTTGATTTGAAATGTTCCTTCTTTTTCTCGTATTCCTTTTGTGACAGCTCCAGCTTAGTAGACTCAGCCAATAAATGAACATCGACCCCCTTACCATGAGCCTCCCAAGCGAACGATTGAGCACCAGCGTGTTTTGCTGTGTCTCCGGTAAAGCGAACAAAATTTTCACCGTCAAACTCTGACCTGGAATTGCGTTATATGCGTGTTTAAAGGCCATACTGCATTTATAATCATAATAATACTTTAATACTTACTCTTCTCCTGGTACGTGTGGATTTGGATTGTCCCGCATGGATCTGGTGTGGTGGTTTTACCGTCGAAATCACGTTCAAACACATTTCGTCGAGCTATATACAAATATTCTAAACGTTAACATTTATTCGCTTGGATTTCGTTACATGTATAAATGAATAGAAACAAATTACCCATCATCATTATGCCAAAAAAGGCTAAAAAGAGTTATATATTAATTATCGTGCTGTACAATATTGGGTGGAGGTTATTGACTTTCTTTATTCCTGCAGAACAAAAGCGGATATTTATATCGGTATTTGTTGTAGTTTATGAATATAGAGCCAAAAACACGGAAAGCAACATCTTAGCTCCGTCCTTTGACGGATTTGGGCCATTTTGGACAGACGTTCAAATGGACGGGCGGACATGCTCAAATCGATTTAAAATTTGATGTTGATATTGAAGGTTTCCTCCGATCATTGCAATTCAATGAAGTCAAAATGCATTTACGAAAAACTTCATTAATATCAATTGAAATGTTTTGTAACTAAAATTGCACCGCACAAATTTATTAACATCTTCCTAACATAATTTTTCACAAAGGTATCTGGTAAATTGAAGACTGTTCATTTTCCTGTTAGTCAGAATTTACTTGTTCGTTTTTTCCCACCTTTTTTTTTATTTACGTTAACACATTTTTTCAAAAGTTTCATAAGTTTGACATTCCACAAATAACTCAACTATAATTACGAGTTCCACAGTTTTGGCATCTAAACCTTATCCCGTTTAATAAATTAGAAGTTTACAACGCCTACATCATCATTATAGCCGACAAAGCTGCTTACTGCACATATAACCCACGCAATAAAAATAAGTGGAATTATTACAACAAAAAACATGAAACAAATAAATTTGGAAAACATTCGAACCAGTCTGCCATCAAATTTTTGTTTTCCCAATTTTTTAAAGGGCGAACAGAAAAATTCGGAAACATCTCGTAACACTCGTCCACCGATCAAGAATACAGGTAGTAATGTTTCATGTGGCTTGTCCGATACAAGAGATAGAAATAGAGCCACCAGCAACGAATCAGGTCAAGACTATAAGTCGATATTAGAAACAAAAACAACATCCGACTGTAAACAAACTATGCGTTCACAGCAAAATTTCCATAATCATATTGAACCTGAAAAGAATCATAACATAGGTGGACCTCATGCACAGGGGCTTTTTGATGCGTTGCTTAATGATAACAATGAAATAGTTAAACTGAAGCGCGCTTACAATGACTCATTCAATTTATCATCAAAAAACCGCAGGCCTCCAACTAGAGCTTATACCACAGATTTAAACGTTTCCCCACATTGCAGGCGATTGTGGGTTACCGTATATGGATTTCCCGCCACAGCTGTTTCATTAATATTGCACCACTTTGCGCAATGCGGGACTATAGTCGATAATGTGCTCCCTTCATCTTACAGTAACTGGATACATTTGAAGTATTCGTCTCAACTAGAATGTGAGAAAGCGCTTGCTTATAATGGGATAATATTCGCTAATAACTTAATGATTGGTGTAACGGAGTGCAAGAATGAGAATGTCGTCGGCAAAGAGAACATATATGAGAATACTACAGAATCTATGGAAATGCAATCTTTGGCTGAGGCTTGCAAAAACGCACAATGCGAAAATCCGGCGTTTACTAATGTTGGCACAGCCAGTAGAGATTCTCGTCTTTTAAACAAAGCATTGGACTTATTCTTCGGTTGGTGATTAATTCCTAATTCTCGCAAAAAATTTTACCTAAAGTCAAATTACGCTAAACAATCTTTTCTTCCGAGTTCTTGTGGAGCAAACTATATCTTATGTCCTGAATTATCGATCCATAACCCATTACCGGAAGTAATACCAAGGAAATACAATGAAATGCGTTTGTTAAGCGTGCCAAGAGAATTTTAAAATTTATTCCAAGATGTAATGCAACACAACTACTTTAGAACACTTACTTTACTTTACGATAAAGTATAGTAACGTATCATTGTATGTACCCTGCGCTGATCCACCTCACAAACCGTCCTTACTTTTACTCCTATTCTATACTTTACTTATTCATATTCGCA